ACTCTGTGTAGAGGGTTCAACCATTTTGAAGGATTGTCGGTACTTACAAGAATGTGTTCAGACCAGCTATCCTAAGACTGTGGTCTGTCATTTTTTTTATTTACAGCTTGACCTGTAACTAAAGCTGGATATACAAATAGGGGTGTATTCATAAAAGGTTTGCAGAGTGAAAAGCTCTGCAAATGGGTTAGTTGTAATTCTGGCCAATTAATGGAGCCAAAGAGCATAGGTAATGTCTATGCTCTTTAGCGCCATCTAGTGACCACCGTGTGAAATTCCTATGCTCCCAGACTCTATCTAGTGGCCATCATGTAAAATCCCTATGCTCCCAGACTCTATCTAGTGGCCATCATGTAAAATCCCTATGCTCCCAGGCTTCATCTAGTGGCCATCATGTAAAATTCCTATGCTCCCAGGCTTCATCTAGTGGCCATAATGTGAAATTCCTATGCTCCCAGGCTTCATCTAGTGGCCATAATGTGAAATTCCTAGGCTCCCAGGCTTCATCTAGTGGCCATTATGTAAAATTCCTAGGCTCCCAGGCTTTATCTAGTGGCCATTATGTAAAATTCCTATGCTCCAAGGCTTCATCTAGTGGCCATTATGTAAAATTCCTAGGCTCCCAGGCTTCATCTAGTGGCCATAATTGGAAATTCCTATGCTCCCAGGCTTCATCTAGTGGCCATAATGTGAAATTCCTATGCAACCAGGCTCCATCTAGTGGCCATTATGTAAAAATCCTAGGTTCCCAGGCTTCAACTAGCGGCCATAATGGGAAATTCCTATGCTCTCAGGCTTCATCTAGTGGCCATCATGTGAAATTCCTATGCTCCCATGTGCATGTAAATAGTAAGTGGCCTGCAAGAGGCTGCAGGAGATCATCAGCATTGAGATAAAACGAAGGATGAAAAATCATTTGGCAAACTAAATGTTATTCAGTTGGGATTTATATCTACTTTATAATAAGAGGAGGTGAAAGGTGGAGCTGCTGACATCAGAAATAGCCCTTTTAATAGAGCAGGCGAAGTAGGGAAAAGCAAGTATCTCATCGGTTGCTATGTAGAACTCCTAATTTCACACCAATTTGGAAAACAAAATGGCTGCCGCCTGCTTATGTCATGAACAGATAATATGCCAGTGAGAGCATTATTTCTCTTGCACAACCTAGTGTCACTGAAGAGTTAATAGCGATCGATCGTTGTCCACATTGCCTGCCACTCACCACTTCCAGATCGGTGTGTGTCGTCTCTCTGTGTATTCACCGATGGCTCCATGAGACCGATGCTGTTTGTCTGTTTCCAAACCCTACTAACACTCCATTGTATATTGTTTGGATTTAAATCCCTTGCGCACCTCTTGACATGTTTTGCCACTCGTGTTGCATGTAGACCCACAAACAGACATGAACACATACACTTCACGCAGACGCATACATATATTATAGCTCCATCTAGTGGCCATGATGAGGTATTTTGCTGGTTCACTTTGTACTTTATAAATAAACCTAATAAAGAAGGTTTGCCCAGAAGAGAAAATAAACATTTTTTTTTAACCCCATTCTAACAAGAGCAGGTTAACGCACATAGAACGAATGAACATGCAGCTTCACTGACGAATAAGCTATGGACATTTTTTTTTTTTCTTCAACAAACTCACACAGTTTATTTTGATGGACATTTGGTCTGGCAGACAACATATTGCCAAATAAAACATAGAAGCAATAGGTGACTAGGAAACATAGATCGTGCCTTGAGGTAAAACCAGATGCCTGTGTGGAGAGCCTATAGTTATATGTTACAGTGGGACATCAAGCAAATTTTTTTTTCTTAGTTTTGAAGTAGGAAACCTGTAATGATGGACAAAAAATTGGTAAAAATTGATAAAAATTGGTTGACACCCCTAAATGGATAGGCATGGGTGGTCCATTTGATAGGCATAGTTGAGTTTATTGTAATTTTGATCATGTTTCATGGAGGAAACATAGTTTCTTCATGGTTCTATAAGGATACACACACACAAATCAAATAATGTAGCTACAGGTACTGTAAGCACTTCCATAGGATGAACAAGGAGAACAGTACAGTAGCTTTATTACACCGATGTTTTGGTGATTCACATCCGACTTTCTCAAGGAAGAGTGGACGTGTTTTAAACCATCTAAAAAGCTATGACCCTAAAAGAAACATAATACATTATTATAGCCTATCAATTTATAAAAGTCAGAGGTGCAGTCTGATAATCAAACATCTGGCAAAACAAAATGGTGATACAAAATGGTGAATTACATTGTGAGGGTTTAGGGGAGTTTTAGCCATGTAAAGTATTGGTGATTCCCCCAGATTTATACATTTTATTCGTCCATCTCACTTGACTCTATCAAATAGATTAAGTGTAGCCACCCATTTAGGGAGTGGTGCTTGAGTCATTTTCCTTTATCATTTTGTCCATTGGTTTGTGGGCAACTCATCCCAATGGTAGAGAGCAACCAAGACCCTAGAGGTCAGTCTTCAATTATAACTATCAGCTCTATTCACAAAAGGGTGAAGGGTTTGAAGAAGGGAGGAGAAGTGAACAATCCAGGACAACATAGCTGAAGTGGAAAGTGAGCTGAATTGGAGAATTCATCCAAATCAGCTATTTTGGCCTAGATTGTTCACTTCTCCGGCCTTCTCCAAACTCTTCACCCTTTAGTGAATAGACCTGTATATCTTTGAATCCAAGAGGCTTCCATATACACCAGGTATTTGTTTTCCTGTTGGGTAGATTGTTTCTCACTTGTTATCCTAGTAACAATCATCACAAGAACGATGAGGGAAAATCCAAAATGTGACTACTGTCAGATAAACAGGAGGTGAGGGAAAACCTTCCAATGAGGAACTTTTCAATCAGTTCCTGTCATGTCTCTGGCACAGGAAGTGACAAGGAATCTTCCCAAAAGGGACCCAAACAGCAGTAAAACAAGCCTTTGTGTCTGTGGGATTTGTTTTTGTAGATTCAAGGCTTCAGCTTTGGGTTCTCTGATGGGTTGGTAATGGGAGCTCTTATTAGGCTTGGGCTGCTCATTTTCTTGAGGTACCAGACAGGGAGCTGGGTCCTCAGGTGGGTAGCTTTTGTATGTGTACAGTGAGGAGCATCTCAAGTTAAAAATCATACACATAGAAGATCCAGATCCTGACAAATACAGTCAATGTATTTCAAGGAATTTTGATTCCCCATTCTTCATGGCTCTTTGCAAAATATCTGACCTGTTGTGGAACTGCATGGGGGGACCACGTCTGAGTCTTTGGGTATATGCGGAGTATTGCTACTTTTCCTGAGAATTTTTCATGTGTATCACTCCTAACTGGATGACCCGTTCACCGCTTAAAAACGGACAAATGTTCCAATGATTTCTCTCTCCATTCAAAGCAAAATAAAAAGTATCTGGAATATTGTTGTTAGCTTAATGTATTTTACAGCCTTGCTGCTGTGACAAATAAAGGGGGAGAAGAGCTGTACATAATTATCATGAACAAACAGGCACTGCTGGGCTCCTTTTGGGTTTGTTCTTTATTCCCATACAACACAACATACTATATATTGGTGGATCCTCAAGGGTAATGTGTACTATGTGTTGCAGCATTATTCACCCAATAATGAAAGAGGGGTCTACGCCCAATATCCATTTCAGGCTATCAACATTTTCTGCTTTTTTATTAATGTACAAATACATCACAACATTTAAGTCATGTGAAGAATTTCTGTATTCTTTTACTGTGTATCATTACATGCATTTAATATGTGCAGCCAGACTCGATTTTTATACCGATTCTAATGATGTGGCTCAGCTGGCCAGTTGCTTACCTACTAAATAGCATGTGATAACACATGTAGACATTTCTTGTGGCTGTTTTAATGGAGAACTTCAGTGAAACATATCCTTGTCATATATGCCTTCGCTCCTACTAAAGCTTTGAAATATTGGTAAAGGTTCCTAGAGTTCGATAGCTGGTCCTTGGTCATTCATTTCTCTAAACATCAATACCTAGGTTAAACTCCAACCAAAATGTTTAGGGGTAGAATTTTTCTCTGTCTCTGTGTCCCAGTGAAGACATTGTTCTTCTCTTACCCTCCTGACACCTGTCATCTGGAAGGGAAATCCCAATAATAGCCAGCTCTTGAATCCTACCAGCTGGAGACTGTAGGATAATACTTTGTAACAGCCCAAATTGCCTTCTGAGGAGAATTCCGATTGACTCCAATTCCAATAAACCGCCCCACACACATTCCTCTCTTGCTTGTGCAGATATTAGCTCTTCCTTCACTCTAAGCCCTGATAAAGATTTTCTTGTACCATTTTGTCCGTTGGTTTGAGGGCAACTCATCCTATCCCAATGGTACAGAGCAACCAAGACTCTAGAGGCCAGTCTTCAATCATAACTATACCTCTGAATCCAAGAGGCTTCCATGTATACCTTCTTATGTTTTCACTGGTGTTTGCTTTCCTGTTGGGGAGATTGTCCCTCACTTGCTATCACAATGACAATTATCACAAGAACGATGAGAGAAGATCAGTTTTTCAAAGTATTTGCAAAGCTTTCGACCTACTTCAGGCATTATTGTTAAATGCTTTAGCCCCAGTTGGAGGCGTTGAACACATATCCTAATAGAAAAGCTGGCTACCAAGGTGTTAGCGGGCTTCACCAAGCTTCAGGACTACTTGAAACTTGATATGAGCTTGCTGAAGCCTTCCAGCAGCTTGTCTATTGTGACCACAACCTTTCTCATTTAGACCTTGTTTTACATTCTCAAACTGGAGAGAGGGGGTGTGTGAAAAAGCTTCAGCAAAGCTCAGTAAAGCTTGTGAAAAGCTTTGGAAACGCTTTGTAAAAGTTGTCCGTACCCACTACTTTTATACAAACTAAAAGCCAAAGGCAATAGGATATCTTTCACTGCAGTTCTCAACCGTGGACATTTTCTAACACCCCCATCTGAATCTGTTGTGTCCTTATACCTCTCAGGTTACTTTTCTGACAACCCATCTCCCCCATCATATCCGCCTAGCCCACGTCTAGTCCCAGTCCCAGCTCTTAAGTTTACTCACATTGATGAAGATGAGGGTGAGTTGGATCTCTTAGCAGCAGAAGAGCTAGTCACATGTTCTGTCCACACCGCTTTTGCTTTTACAGTCAGCCACATGTAAACATACCAGTCCGGTGTCTGCTTTTATGTCAGCGCTGCTTTGCAGTCTTTTATCCTTGGCTAAGATATCGCATAATATTCTACCAAGGGAGGGCTGGCAATTAAAACAACTGTTAGTGCAAATAAGATAAAACATATATCTGTTGGACACACCAATGGCGAGATGTTATCTTAATAATTTGTGGCTCCTTCCCTTCCACCAAAGCCATAATTTTTCTTCAACTGCATTTACCATTCATTTGTACTACATGATGAAGAACCCTGCAGGGGCATTTGACACTGTCATTTGGTGTGGTGGCCATGGTCTTTGGATGGAACTGGGAGCTCTATTAAAAAATATTTTTATCATTGGAGCACCCAAAAAAACTATAGGCCCCCATTAAAACCTGAGTGTTTTCAGGTGATTTGAAGCTTTTTTTTTTTTTTCGTTTTTCAGGTGTTTTTAGGCTTCTGTGGTTTTGTTTTAGCCAATAGAAAGCTAGTTACGAGGAGGAGACAATATGAGCTAATGTCCTGCCTGAATTTATTGCCAGCCCTCCCTTTAGTGCTCTACATGTGCGTTTGAAAAGTCTGAGCAGTAAACTTCATGCCCTCAATTACCTGGTTAACAACTAAAATCAGGCTTAATGTAAAAAAAACTTCAAATATTCTTTGTCTAATCAATTAGGAAATTCTTAACTGAAGGGCTAAGTATAAGACGATAAGCCTTATGCACCAAGCGTCTGAACGGAAAGTGTGTTGCCAGTAGCAAGCAATGAGATTCAAGAGTTCATTGACTTGCAAGTATGTGATTAACAGCTGTAGGCAACTCACTTTTGCATTCAGAGGCGGTTGATATCCATTATGATGTATGGTCTTGTTGGTTTATTGTATTGTAACACTAAGCAGGATTGGACTAATCCAAAGACCCATGTAACCAACACACCTAACACATTCCTGGTGGGGACTAATGTTCAATAATAGCAGCTATGTCTGGTTAATGGGTACAAATCTTTCTAACTTCTCAAAGTTGTTACTGGCTTCATTTTGTCCAACTCTGTTGCAGGTGATGGCTTACGGTCTTACGGTCAAAAGTCAAATCCTCCCAATTGTTAGCCAGCCAATATTCTGTCATTTAAACATGCACAGAAATGTATATGGAAAGTAGGGATTTACCATGGTGCCTTGGAAAACTCTCAAAGTTCCATTGGCTAGTCCTAGAGTGATGTGCTTTTCATGTCACTCAGCTGTCTTGGAATCATGATAATCTATGGGTCAACCATGTAACTGCTCTGATTTGCTTTGTAGTTGCTTTAATAGCACAGTGCTGGTTGCTGGGTCTGCTCATGCCAAGTTTTGTTCCAAGTCTTTGTGTTGTCTCACTCAAATAGAAGTGGAACAGACAGCATCAAGAAGACCAAAAAGAAAAAGGATAATGATCACCTGTTTCCTGCTTTTTCCTCATTCAAGTTCAAAGATTTCCCTCGTATTGTTAATTTTCATTTCCAAACAAGCTGACTCCTAGAAAAGGTGCAAGTTTCCTGCTGTCCATATGATGCCATTGCCTGAACCACACTTTTAGCTCTGGGAAGCCTGTAGATGGGTTGAGTAAGCATTGGAAGAGAAGATCCTTTATTTGGGTGCAAACCACACTGGTTAGATTTTAACATTACGTACATTACTGGTAGTTGGTTCATGTTATTGGCACATATTTTAAAGCCTTCTAGATATTTAGGGAACATACAAAGAAGCCCAAAACACTGTCCTGATTTTAGGGGAACGTTGTAATCAAAGTAGAGAAGCCTTTGGGCGTGCTGGCATAATTCTATTTTATTCTATGTCCTACCTAGTGTATGCTTTGCTTCTATTTTTGCACAGTTTTGGTGCTTATTATTTAGTGTTTTCAAGTGTATACTAAGCTATTTCTTTGAGTTTACCCAAAACAGATATTTCAGTTTGATGCATATGCAGCCGGGTTGAATCACTCTTTGATTTTTTTAATCTGTTGGGGACTCTAGCTGAAAGATATCCACACCTGATCCAGCTGTGCAAACCCACTGCTGATGTTATAAGGACATCTCGATATCTCAAATTTTTATTTAATGTGCATTATGAAAAGTGCAGCTGGAGCATTGAGACTCCCCCTGTGCTTCAGTGAAGGAGGTGAGACTCCTTAGTGAATGTGGCTGAGGTGGGAGACCCTGAGGGTTATCAGAAGCTGATGGGTAGTTCAACTCACCTGCATCCAGGAACAACTGAAATATCAGATTTGGGTATCCTTACCCTTCAAGATGTCATTGTTGTTTGTCTAGGTTGTATTGTCCCATTATGCTGTTAGCCATTGCAACGTCTATCAAAGACCTTCAGTATTAGCTGCTGTGAGGTCTCTAACATTGCTGCGTGTTAATATAAGGTCTACGCTTGCTTCATTGCATTAGTCAGAGTCTAAGTTTTCATTACATCTTCAAATTGACAACAATGTCTCTGTATTCCTGTCATGGTCCCTGTTTTCCCTTTATCTGAAAGAGGTCTACAATGTTGTAGCTTATGATTTTTTGCTGCTCTTTGGAATACCCTGGTGATCTCTGCTGCATAAAATTTGTGGTGATGGTCAATATTCATGGGTCTGGATGGTTTGCATTTCACTGTTTTACTGCTGGATAATAAATGCTGGGTATCATTTATGTCTATGGTGCATTTTTATGGCATGCTGTTGGATATAACCGCTTACATTATGGTGGGTGGTATTTATGGGGCTCTCCATGGTGTGGTTTCTTTGTCACTGCTGGGTGGGATTGTGGAGATGATGCTGAGGCTGATTTGTGGGTAACTTCTGGATATAATGTATGTAGCACTGTAGGATTTTACACTTTTGTGTCTTAGCTCAAGCCTGTTGCTTTTAATAAATGATGTACTCTAACTATGCTGCTTGGTCCATTCACTCCAGTATACTCCTGTAAGGTGTCATGTCTGAGTTCTGCCAAAGTGCTATTTGCCTTCAATCTGCATGTATGGTGGTTTCCATTTCCAACTGTACTCTGATCCATTGGCATTCCTTCTCTATAAAGCTTGTACTCTGCTCCTTTGAGGACCCTTTACTTATCATTCTGGCATTAGGTAGCCCTTTATGTTTCATGCTATGCTAAACATGAGATCATTTTCCTTCTTCAGATGTTCTGTCTGTGGTCAACACATTTTTTCCTCTGGTGTTTTTTGTCTGATCTGTCTTAGTTCATCCTGAAGTTGTTTGTTCTGGTTTGCCTGACCTTTGCTCTCCCTGGCGACTTTCTGCTGTCTTTCTTTTGTTTGATTGCTGTTTTTCTGCTGCTTGAGCTTCCCATGCTTAATTTCATCCCAGTACTTGTTGAACGGTTCTTATCACTGCCTCTTATGATCCCCTCCAGGACGAGAACTTAGGGTGGTGGTGAACACCAATGACCCGGATTATGAGCACATATACACGGTGGATGATTACAAGGATATTGATGAAGATGGCACAGAGAGCACGATAATGAAAGATGGTCAGAGTCTATCAATCTATGTGTCTCTTATAACTCCCATATATCTTTCTTCTCTCCATTCATCTTTTCCTTTCTTACTCTTACTTATTTTGTTCCTTTATATCTTTCCTTCTTCCGTCATGTCTGTCCTTTTCTGTCTTCCTTACTTTTTTCCCACTTCCATTCCTTCCCTTTTCCTTTTTTTCCCAGCCTTACCTTCCATTTTTTCTTTCTTCTTTTTCTTACCCTTCCTTCCTTCTTTTCTTTCTTTCTTTCACTTCTTTTCTTCCTTTCTTTTCCTTCCTTCCTTTCTTTTCCTTCCTTCCTTCTTTCCCTCCTTCCTTCCTACTTTCTTCCTTCCCTCTTTCTATCCTTCCTTCCTACTTCCTCCATCCCGTTCCTCTTTCTCCCATTTTTCTCTTTTTTTATTGTATTTTCTTCTCTTTACAGCCACAATCCAACTGTTTTTCCTACTGTAATTTATTCTTTTTGCAGACACAACCATTCCAACAGTATCAGAGGCGAGCTTACGGAGTAAGAGAGATACATCAGTACAGGGTGAGATGTACAGCACAATCACTTCACTATGCACAGCATACAAATACAATTTTTCTACATTGTAACACAGCTACTCCTGTTTGCCTATATGCTGATATGTCTGTTACTTTATCTAGATATATGCAGCTTCCCCATGAAGGAGGGTGAATGTACAAAGTACACGCTGAAATGGTATTATAACCACCTAGTGAGAGAGTGTCGCCCGTTTGTGTTCAGTGGCTGCGGTGGGAACCTGAACCGATTTGACGAGAAGGAGCAATGTGAGCTACACTGCGTACACAGAAAAGTAGAAGGTACGTTTCAACCCCAAAACTCCATATATCATTACAGCAATGTATAGCACGTGGTATTGAAGAGGCTTCATCTGTAGGGTTGCCACCTTATCTTCCATCGAAACCCGAACACTCGCATGCACACACACATGCACAATCACACACAGACACACAAAGGTTGAACTTGATGGACCTGTGTATTTATTCAACCTCAAATACTATGTAACTATGTAACTCTAGAGGCGCACGGACATTTTTTGGGGAGAATTAGTTGTGGCTTATTTATATGTAAATAGCGCCACCCATTCATATGTAAATATCACAATAGAGACTATTTTCAGTGGGTGACCAGTAGCCCCTATCTTAATTTTGGTTGCCCCTTTCTGCCTGACATCTTCTGCCCAGGTTTCAGCTTTCATGAAACCCGAACACAACGTTCAAAACCCGGACTGCCGGGTGAATGCCGGACAGGTGGCAACCCTATTCATCTGTTGCTTTTATCTGATGGGTTAAAGCGCAGATAAAGCTTTATAAAAATGCTGATTGCTATGTTTTCTAAGGCAGAAGACAGCATGTACGTCTCTTCCTCCATAAAAGCTTCTTTGTAGCTGTTAGCAATTTTGTTTTTCGCTTTGCATGCTAGCACATTATGGCTAAAAGCTTCTTTTTTTTTTGTAAATTGCCTTCATGTCTGCTTTAAGTAAAGTAAATGGGTAGGTGAGTAGGGAGTATACCATGCCTGCCAGGAACAAAATCATTTTGCTGGCTTTTCTATATTGCATTTTATTGGTGCTAACTTCAGGAGAACCAAACAGGGAATGATAACGCAGCATGAAACTTGAAACAAGAGCATTCCCTTGGCTGACCTCTGTGTCATTCAATGCTATATGCTGACTCTTTTGACCCTTCTTGTCCTGTTGCCTGCGTTACACTGTTTGGTTACTGGAGATTGAAATAGCAGGACATTGTTAAAAAGATTGATGATGTAAGAAATTAGTTTACAGACACTGCTACAACCTCAATATTAACACACAGAGGCTCTAGACCTTGTGAGGCCTAAAGGTGAGACCCCCCCGGTACACCCATATAAAAAAAAAATGCAAACAATAATGACATTTGAACTGTATAAATTGGATATTTTAGGACTAACCTTAAATGCCAGAAACTAGGAATTCACAGACAGCTAGAGCTAGAATTGTATTTCTGTCTTATATCTAATCATACTAATATCTATAAAGTGGTCAGACATGTCGGTACAGTGGGCAGTCAGTGGTCAGACATGTCGGTACAGTGGGCAGTCAGTGGTCAGACATGTCGGTACAGTGGGCAGTCAGTGGTCAGGCATGTCGGTACAGTGGGCAGTCAGTGGTCAGACATGTTGGTACAGTGGGCAGTCAGTGGTCAGACAAGTTGGTACAGTGGGCAGTCAGTGGTCAGACATGTCGATACAGTGGGAAGTCAGTGATCAGCCATGCCGATACAGTGGGCAGTCAGTGGTCAGGCATGCCGATACAGTGGGAAGTCAGTGGTCAGGCATGCCGATACAGTGGGAAGTCAGTAGTCAGGCATGCCGATACAGTGGGCAGTCAGTGGTCAGGTATGCTGTTCAAGTGGGAAGTCAGTGGTCACTGGTCAGGCATGTCGGTACAGTGGGAAATCGGTGATCAGGCATGTCGGTACACTGGGTGGTAAGGCATGCTGGCACATTGGGTGGTCAGGCAAGGGCAAGTTGGTACCGTGGACGGTCAATGGTGAGGCAAGTCGGTACAGTGGGTAGTCAGTGGGCAGGCATTTCGGTACAGTGGGTGATCAGGCATGCCAGTGAGCGCGAGGCCTTAGGCGATCACCTAATTTGCCTAATTAAAGAGCCGCCTCTGTTAACAGTGCTCTACTGAGAGTGTTTTTAAAGTTTGTCTAACACTGGGGTAGGCGACCTTGACACTCCAGCTGTTGAGGAACTACAAGTCCCATGAGGCATTGCAAAACTCTGACAGCCACAGGCATGACTCCCAGAGGCAGAAGCATGATGGAACTTGTAGTTTCACCACAGCTGGCAGTGCCGAGGTTGCCTCCCCCTTCCATATTAAACAGCTAGATGCCGTTCCTGAATTCCATATTTAACCAAAGCACGGCCACCGTGAGCACAGTCCAAACCTTGCATAACAAATTATTCAAAATGTTTCTTTTCATTTCCGATTTCAGATAAACTGCAGCAAAACGGAAGCTAAAAGACAAGAAGATCTAGAAAAACAAATCTGTATATTGTAATATTTTTGTAAGATTTGCTACATTTGCAAAAAAAAAAGAAAACTTGCAGATTGCACGGTCCAAGAGTTGTGTTCCAGCGTTTGTTACATCTGGGAAATATTTTGTCATTTTTTAATTTTATATAATGTTAATATAATTATGGCGGCTGTAACTGGCTATCACCCGGTGCATAGAATTCTAAGAAGTAGCAGAAAACTGGTGCTATGTCTTATACTTTACTTCTACCAAAAGTGAAATGTTTATCAAGTGATGTCGCAGAGGTCATAACGGGCAGAACGTGTTTATCGCACTTAGGTCACGCCGTGTAAGGTTTCTGCGCTGCAATGAGGGAATAATTACAAAGACGGATGGAGGAAGAGCAGGAGAGGATCCGTGTTTGAACAACGGAGGCAAATTTACTATTGGCTATTTATTTTATTAACCCCTTCATCACAGTGGTCATCTGATGCAACCTTTTACCAGTTCCACCTGTGATTTTCACCCTCTCTTTAAAGCTGAGCTCCAGGCAAACAACGAAATACACAGATAAAATAAATCTCAGAGTCAGAGGTCAGAGTCTGGACACGACCATGCGTAAACCCCCCTACGTACCGCGACCTGAGGTGTGCCTTGAGCTAAAGCAGAGACACCGGCACTCCAAATTTGCAAAATACGTCTATTTATTGACGTGCATCGTGGTAAAAAACAACGAACGTGTTTCTGCTTTAGCTGCCACCCGTTGACTACCGCAGCACCCAATTCTTGAAGGTATTTACGCGGTCAGGAGTGCGATGGGACCATGGACTATCTGAGGTGTGCCTTGGTCGCGCTGGTCAATATGCCTAATAGGGGGCATACTCAAGTAAATATTTGTAAAAGGGTTTTGGGCGGGTGGGATACCAGAAACGATCCGACGGCAAGAGGAGGAACTGTGGCCGTATTTACAGGCCAGACCCCTCCTACAAATTCAGGCTAGCCAATAGCCAGCCGTCTTACATATGGGATTTCTGTGCATCCAGTCCTGAGATTACACAGCTCAGACCCGCAGCGCAGTCTTGTCTGGCAAGGCAAAATACCTGATTTTTCTCTGCTGCAGTTAAGTAACACTTACAGGTCTCGTCCCTCCCTCAGCCTGTGATTGGACAATAAAAGGAGAAGCAGCAGGCTGATTAGCGTAACTCCCTGTCAGTTTATTCTCTCCACCAAACAGCATGCAGCACAACTGATTGTATCCTTGTGCTGCTTCTCCCTTCCTCAGTCAGAGCTCTGCTGCACAGTGGACAGTAAGAGGCTGACTTACAAGTCAGACTTATGTGCACACATAGCTTGCACGTATTAATGAATACAGATCTGTTCTAATCTGTACTATACCTGCCGGGAGACTGTTTGGGCGGTGAGCTTCCTTTGCATCAATCTGGGTAAAATTTCCCTCTTAATGCATAAATAGCATTCAGAGATAATGAACAGAAATAATGTTTAGAGCAGGTCCGTAATAATCGCATAGTATAGTGATTGCACACAGGCTCCCAAACTATATATACAGCTCTGTCATCCAAATGTATTTGCCAAACGCTATTGCTGCATAAATAGCTGTATATTCAGACTCTGGGACCCCTGTGCTTCTGGGCCCCATCAAGGTGACACAATCTGCTATGACTATAGTTGCTGTTGGACTGCTCATATTCAATGCTTGTGAACCTTTCAGCATTGCCATATGTTGCTAAAAAGGACCAGAGGTGTAACTAGAAACCTTGAGGGCCCCGGTGCAAGAAGCCATGAAGCC